GAGACTAGGGTTTGTGGCTCTCACTGAGGAAAGAAGCTTCACGTCTCGCGCTCGACTCAATCTACATGTGGTATCAGAGCATGGCTCCGACAAACAAGGCTTTATCAGCTTCGGAGAAGATGAGTTCATACGCAAACACTGGAACGATTTTTATGGCTGATGGATTCTCTCTGAAAAGACCACCAAGATTCGAAGGAGTGCACTACGGGTACTGGTGAAACCGAATGGAACTGTTCATTGGGTCTACAGATCCAGATCTTTGGGATATTATTCTCGATGGGCCTTTGGAAGTAAAGGGAGTTCGAGGCAAATGGTCAGACACAGACGAGAAGAATTATCAGATGAATTCTAAAGCAACGAACTTGTTGTACTGCGCATTGGGACCAGAGGAATATCATCGCGTTAATGGATGTAAATCTTCAAAGGAGCTTTGGGATAAACTTCAAATAACACATGAAGGTACGACGCATATAAAGATTTCAAGAATCAATAGTCTAAAGCAAGAATTTGAGTCTTTCGTCATGAAGCCTGAAGAATCAGTCAAAGAGATGAATGAAAGATTCACGACTATTGTCAATAGTTTGATGAATCTGAGAATTGCATATAAGAGCTGTGATCTTGTCAGAAAGGTGCTATGGGCATTGCCAAAGAAATGGACGCCAAAGGTCACCGCAATTGAGGAATCAAAAGATCTCACAAATCTCAGCCTTGACGAGCTCATGGGATCCTTGATAACTCATGAAGAAAAACTAAAGAAGGAAGAAGCTGAAGAACCAAGGAAGGAAAGGCACAACATAGCCTTCAAGACAACGGTTCAGGAAGAAGATTTTGACAGTCTTGATGAGATGGAAGATGAGGAACTAGCTATGCTAAGCAAACATGTAACCAAGATAATGAGGTTGAGAAAAGAAAAGAGACGATGAGGGTTGATAAATCAATCCAGAGAAGGAGAAGATCAACCAAAATTCAATCGATCACTGCCAAAACCAAGAAAAGAAGGAGTCGCAAGCGAGAAGCAACCATCACAGGTTGGATGCTTCAAATGTGGAAGATTAGGTCACATAAAGGCGGAATGTCCAACGATGAAGAGGGAAAAGGCATACGCTGCAACCTGGAATTGCAGTGAAGAAGAAGAGGATGATGATGAAGCTAGACATGCTGCTTACATGACACTAGGAGTAAGTGATGATGACTCCAAACCACCTCAGGTAAGTCACATTGACTATTACTCTAATGATTATAGTGAAAGAGAAGAAATGATTGATACAATTAAAAACATTCAAGAAGAACTTGAAAATGTTAGATTTAAGCACACTAAGCTGAAGGCCAAATTTTTAAGCATGAGTAGTACTTGTAACAAGCTGAATGAAGAAAAGCAGGATGTAGAAAATCAACTAAAGCAGTGTCTCCTTGAGAATGAAACTCTTAAAGCTGATCTTTTAAATCTAAAAGAGTTACAGAACACTACAAACTGTAAGTGTGGTGAGGAATGTCATTCTAGCATAAGAAAGTGGACGTCTAATAAATCATCAAATTCTAAAATTAATCGCGTCACTAAGAAAAGAAAGTCAACAATTGTTGGTTGTTTCTATTGTCATAAGGAAGGTCATTACATTGCTAACTGCAGGAAAAGAATTTGCAAAAAAACCAAGAAGTGTCAATTGTGGTAACTTAGGACACTTAAAGAAACATTGTAACAAAACACAGAAATTATCCAAACAAATTTGGATACCAAAAACCAAGTAAAATCATGATTATGCATGTTTGTCTCCAAGTGAGCATGGATGACAGTGAATGGATCCTGGACAGCGGGTGCTCACACCACATGACAGGTACACAGAGAATTGTTTTCAAAGCTTACCTTCTGTAAGAAAGGAAAAGTCTACTTTGGTGATAATTATAGCACGAGTATTCTAAGAAAAGGCCAGGTAGGACTAATTCCGTCAATTAAGAATGTCATGTTAGTTGAAGGTCTTAAACATAATTTGTTATCCATAAGTCAAATGTGTGGTACTGAAAACATAGTAGTATTTGAACCTGATTCTTGCTATGTTGAGAACATTTTAAGTAAACATGTTCTATTCACTGGGAAAAGAAAAGGAAAATTGTTTGTCATAGATTTGAATGATAAAACCTTATTCAATGAAACATGTTTGGTGACAGTAGATAAAAATGATCAATTGGAATGGCACATGAGATTAGAACATGTGAGTGTAGGGATTCTATCCATACTAGTAAATCTGGGACGGGCTAGAGGTATTCCTAAAATTCACAATAAAAAGGAGTTCTTTTGTGCAACTTGTGCAAAAAGTAAACATGCTAGGTCTTCCTTCAAAAGCAAGTATATAATTTCCACTAAAAGACCCCTAGAAATGTTACATAGGGATCTGTTCGGACCTACAAATATCAAGAGTCTAGGTGGGAAACAGTATGCATTTGTCATTGTGGATGAGTACTCTAGATTCACCTAGGTTCTGTTTCTTGTATATAAGGATGAAACTTTTGAAAACTTCCGAATTCTGTCTAGGAAAATTGAAAATGAAAAGGGGAATAAAATTGTCAACATTAGGAGTGATCATGGAGGGGAATTTGTTTTTGATAAATTCGACTGCTTCTGTGATGAAAATGGTATTTCACACAACTTCTCAGCTCCTAGGACTCCCCATCAGAACGGTGTAGTAAAAAGGAAAAACTGAACGTTGATAGATATAGCTTGAACCATGTTAAAGGATTACGGATTGGCAAAACATTTTTGGGCAGAGGCAATTAACACTGCATGCTATGTGACTAATAGAGCTCTAATTCAGTCTAAGTTGAATAAAAATCCCTATGAGTTGTGGAAAGAGAGAAAACCTAATTTGGAATACTTTCATCCCTTTGGATGCAAGTGTTTTATCTTAAATAACAAGGATAATCTTGGTAAATTTGATGCCAAATCTGATGAGTCAATATTCTTAGGCTACTCAACACACAGTAGAGCCTATAGAATATTCAACAAAAGGACCCTCAAACTAGAGGAGTCCATCAATGTTATATTTGATGAATCTTTGAGTGAGTGGTGTAGACAGTTTAGACGACACAAAGGATTTTGGACTTGGAAGAACTACCCTAGAAGACACCACAAAGGAGAGAGCGGTTGAAGACACTACCAAAGAAGAAGAAGAAGAACATGCAGTAAGGGAAAGTGAAATTCAAGCTCCACCCCCATATAAGGAAGCGTCATCCACCATCTCAGATCATAGGTGACATGGGACAAGGTATCGTTACTCGATCTAGAACATCCGATGTGCATACTGCCTTTGTATCTCTCATCGAACCTAAAAATTTTAAGGAAGCCTTAGATGATGAATACTGGAATGCATCAATGCATGAAGAAATGAATCAATTTAAAAGAAATAATGTGTGGGAACTGGTTCCAAAACCCGAAAACAGAGTCATTATTGGAACTAAATGGATTTATAGAAAGAAATGTGATGGGATAGGAAATATTACTAGGAATAAATCCAGGTTAGTGGCTCAAGGTTACAGTCAGGAAGAAGGTATAGATTTCGAAGAAACTTTTGCCCCTGTAGCTAGATTGGAGGCTATAAGGTTAATGTGTGCCTTTGCTGCATCTAATGGATTTAAATTGTACCAAATGGATGTAAAAAGTGTGTTTCTAAATGGTGATATAAAAGGGGAAGTTTACATGTCGCAACCCCCTGGGTTTGAAGACTACGAATTTCCAGATGATGTGTATAAACTAAACAAATCCCTATATGAACTTAAACAAGCTCCTAGAGCTTGGTATGACAAATTAAGTCAATTTTTTGTTAAACAAAGGATTTCATAGAGGAGCAGTTGACAAAAACCTGTTTATAAAAAATGAAAATTCTCACTCTTTGTTAGTGCAGGTATACGTAGATGATATAATTTTTGGATCCACCAATACTGCTCTATGTAAAGAATTTGAAAACGACATGAAGAGTGCGTTCTAAATGAGTCTCATGGGAGAACTTAACTATTTCCTAGGATTGCAAGTTAAACAAACTAAGAAGGGAACCTTTATAAGTCAAACAAAATATATTCTCAACATGCTCGATAAATTCAAACTTAAAAATCTTAAAACTGCCTTAACTCCAATGGGATCAACAGTTAAATTAACAAAAGATGAGTCTGGAATTCATGTTGATGAAAGAATGTATCGTGGGATGATAGAATCCTTATTGTATTTGACAGCTAGTCGACCTGATATAATGTATAGTGTCTGTGCGAGGTTTCAAGGTTGTCCTAAAATGAGTCATTTATCCGCGGTTAAGAGGATTTTCCATTTTCTGAGTGGTACTTCTCACTTAGGTTTATGGTATTCTTGTGAATCCAGTTTGGAACTCGTGAATTACAATGATTCAGACTATGTTGGATGCACTGTTGATAGAAAAAGTCAGGTACTTGCCATTTCCTAGGAACCTCCTTGATCTTATGGGAAGTAAAAAACAGAGCTCAGTAGCACTATCTAATGCAGAGGCAGAATATATTGCTCCTGGACTCAGTTTTACCCAACTCTTATGGTTGAAATACCAGCTTCAAGACTACGATCTAGCTGTTGGTACTCTACCTATTCTGTGTGACAACACAAGTGCAATTAACATGACTAAAAACCCAATTCAACATTCGCGTACCAAGAACATTGAAGTCCGATATCATTTCATTCATGACTTGGTCCAAGAAGGAAAGATCTGTCTAGAATTCATTAGTACAGATATGCAGTGGGCTGACATTTTCACCAAACCTCTTGGCGCAGACAAGTTCTGACCTATTTGTATTGAACTTGGCTTATTTTCCCTTAACGAAATTGAAAATCTATGATTCTAAGGATATAAAATTTCCATGTTTCAATAAAGGTTGATTACCTTGATGAACTCAAGCATTCACTTCAACTTCCCTTATTCCTCCCTCTCGAAGCCTCTCTGGGGTTAGGACTCGCTATATATTATCACGCCGCTAGGTTCTGGTCCCCATTCAGTGCAACTTGTCTCAATAATACTCCTTCTATCCTTAGCAGAAAAATGGCTTTCAACAATGCTCAACTGAATCCTGCAGCAGTATTCAGCAATAAAGGGTTCAACAGTCCTGCAACCTACTCTCGGTACCTTCGCAGGTTCCGAGATCGTCCCATCTATCCCTCCTTCTCAATTCAGCCTTCTGGCTTCTCCAAATATGACATGAACATTTCCTCTCTCATTGATGGTCTTGGATGGGGCTCATTGACTGAGAACATGAGGTTTAGCTATTGTTCCGAGGCAGAACACATGTTCTATGTCAACCTCGTTCCGGGTCCTGGGTGCGACCCAACCTTCTTCACAACCACTGTGTTCAATTATGAGATCACAGTTACTCCTTCTCTCTTTGCCAACTTCCTCAATCTCCCTCACATAGGACTTCGGGCAGGCACAGATGGTGAATTTGTTGCTCGAGGCTTTCGCTTTGATGCTGCTCTTGCACGCTACACTCGTGATATCGGGGAATTCTTTCCTTCTCCACTCGTTGCTGGTCGTCTGCCTGATGACTTGAAGGTGCTTCACTTCTTCATTACTAGGTGCTTTCTGCCTCGTGATCTCTCCAGCACTAATCTCCTTCACTCAGCTGACCAATGGATCCTATCTAATGGCAAAGAAGGTCGCTCCATCAGCTATGCTTCACTAATGTCCACCCACATAGTTAAGTTTGGACTTGAATACTATAGTGGTCCTCTGCCCTTTGGACCCCAGATCACCAAACTTCTCTACCGGTTGGGAATTGATCTGCGTGATAAGATCACACTCTGCAATGTCTTGGATGATCTTCGTCCCCAGCATGTCCTAGCCAAGCTGAATGCTGAGCTTGGCCCCCGTAAGCCTGTCAATGGCTCAGGGGGAGTCATAACGAGTCCTGGGGATTATGTATCTGGGAGACTTGTGGATGCTCTTGTTGATGCAGCTATATCAGTCATCAAGCGCGAATCTTCAAGTACTACAAAACAAACCACTGCTCTGAAGAGGTTGAGGCAACAAGACTTGATGTGGCCCAAGTTTGTGTATGAGTTAGGTGCAGTCAATGACTCAATTAGTGTTGACTCCGAGTCAGACGAAGAAGATAAAATTTTGTAGTATGAGTCTCCACCTGAGTATCCGTTTTAAGAGTTATGGTTAGTTACCACAAATGGAGTTTCTAGAGTCTTGGTAGTATCGAGTGTGTAGGAGTGTGTCTTGATAGGTGTGGAATCTTTTACTAGTTAGGTTGAGTTCTTAATGGGTTCTGTTCTTTTTATTTGAAGTATGAATAAAAAGATTCTCCTCAATATCTCTACTATAGAGCTTTATAATTATATCGATTAGAATAGTCTACACCAATTGTGTGTTAAATGTGTGCAGATAACAGAAAGAGCCAATGAGAAGCTTAGGAGAGTTTGTTGGAGGAAGCTTATTCAATGGTATCGAGAAATTAAGGAAAGCAAGAATGATGAGATGTCTTGGATGTCCTGGAACACCAAAAGGGAAAGTCCTGATATTGTGATCAAATCAAGACAATCAAGGAATCAAAATTGATTCACAGATCAGCAAGCAATGGTCAACTGAAGCAAGCCATATAAAGCTGGGATTTTGGGTAGAAAGTACAAATCTTTTTCGGGCATATTCTCAAGAACAAAACAGAGTGTTTTCGTGTAGAGTTTTTTAGAAGAAAAAGAACAGAGTTGTCAGGGAGAGAACTCAAGTTACAGAATTGGGTTATTAGGGTAGAGTGGTTGTAGGGAGCAAAGCTCTATAGTGAGATTCTGATCAAGTGACGGGGAGTCACAATGAGATCAACCTTTGTATCTTGTAAACCGATCTACAATCATCATAGCGAAACGTCGAAGAACTCAAATCAGAGATCCTTCGACCGTGGACTAGTCGATACTGATTTATCAATATCGAAAACCATGTAAAAATCAACTGTGTCCTTGCACTAGTTCATTATGTTAGCTAAGACTACTTTTACTCTTTGCTTGTGTTCCAGTCTCTGTTTTGCAAGTGATCTAGAACAAGAACATAGAGCAGCAAGTGGAGAAGGACTGGTTTGCAGGCCACCGAAAGGGAACATATAGTTTGAGCCCGACAGATAACACAAAAGCAACTTTGGGCTTAAAGCCCAACCAACGTTTATTTCGATTAAAGTCTATTAATTATTTCAGAAACAATAAGTGTTTACTTCGTCAATTTACTATCGATCTATTGCACTCAATCGTCATTTTCGTTTGTGCTGAGACTAGGGTTAGTGGCTCTCACTAAGGAAAGAAGCTTCACGTCTCGCGCTTGACTCAATCTACAGATCATAGGAGTTATGAAAAGAAAATTTTGAAAGCGGGTGCTAATAAGTTGGGTGTATCACTAGTTTATTAAGCCTTAATTTTTTGGGTAATGTCTATTTTTTGTCTATTTTTTATCCAAACATTTTTCATATTCTTTCATATTATCCAAACCTATTAAAATGCTATTAATTAGTCAAATGTTAACTTCCAGGTAGGAATTTTGTTAGTAATATTGACTTGGCAACATGATACTGACTTTGAAGAGACACATGAAGGTCAAAATTACAAAATTTTAGTATTTTAACTAAAAAAATAGTTACAAAATTATGAACGATAATGTTAAAATGGCTAATAATTTGATACATTTCGAAAGATTTGACTAATTAATAATATTTTAATAGGCTTGGATAATATAAAAGAATCTGAAAAAAGTTTAAATAAAAAATAGACGTAACCAAAATATTATGGCTTAATAAACTAGTGGTTAACACCTATCCCTACTGCAATTCACGATTACGATGGATATTAAGCACGATAAGAAAATACAACTAGCCCTTCATAAATTCCAGCAACCATAAAAAACCAGATAAGCCAAGAAGAAAAACACCAAATTGCAACCCTACCATCTCCAGGATCACAGTGCTGCACGCACTCGAAACCAAAACCAATTTAATTGATGAATCGTTGCTCTCCAATGAACAGTGCTCTGTTCTTTTTGGAGGACTTTCAAAGGTTTCCATTTCCATTGGGCAATTATCTCAAAGTTTGGACGACTTTGACAGGAAAAGAAGACTCGGGGTAAAAAGAAATAATGAAGCACATTGAGTATGCAAGGAAAGGAGGCCTGAATCTAGACCATGTTTGGTTAACCCAGAATTTGTATTTTGCGAATTGCGACTGTGACGTAGGATAATGATGCCTATGTGTATTTGTTTTATATCAGTGTGTGGATGGCAATTGAATCCTTCACTCGTGGGTACCACACACAGTCATAAAAATTCAATAGTATTAGAGATGATAATACATCTTGGGTCATATTCCTCTAAATCCAAATCCAATCCAGACATGTACTAATTACAAAAACCATTAAAATACTCATTGAGAGAAAACGCAGCCCAATTGATATTAACAAATACATAGTCATCCATTGGTTTACCAACATAACCATACATTTTGAACACCTACAATATTGTAATGTTATAAAAAAAATTCAATAATTATAACTCTATAAAGACTACTAACATCAATAAATTATACATATTATTAGGTTATATTGACATAAAAAAATAATAGCATCCATAAATTATATATGTTGTTCCGGTTATGTACTAAATAACTTCGTTTTGCTTTATGAGTGTGGATAGAGTGGAAAGCGAGTTGAATTTGGAAAAATACAAACTTGACTCAGCCTGTCAATTTAAAGTGCGGGTAAGAACTCGAATTCGGTTCCAAATCCATCAACACTATAAGTTTTTATCCATTTTGACCGAATGAGAACGGTTGAGTATTGTAAATTCGGATTCAATTGACATCCTATTGTGCTGGTCCATAAAATGAAAACAATTGTGTGAGTGATGTGGATCGATCCCCTTCTAAATCTACTAATAATACCTCAGATGCTCTGCTCTTAGTCCAGTCGCGAGTTACGTTTGCTGGCAGGAACAAGTCGCTGTCAAATCTTTTGACTGTTCACGAGCCCTGAGAACAAAATAGTATGACTGATTTTGAATATATTTCCATTTGGGTTTAGCCATTTATGATTCTTTATCTAACTGAATTCACATGAAACCCAATCCTTTCTTGAACAGAGCGATAAGAAAGCTCGGGAGATCTATGGTGAACTGAATCTGCACTTCTGCAGGCCTTTTCGTTGCTCAATGATGAACTGAAGGGAAAACTTTTGAATTTCAGGGAGTCGATGGATGAATTTAGTTTGAGGGTTCCCGTGATTAATCTTTATGGGTTTCCAGTATTCTTTCAATAATCAATATCTAGCGATGAGCAAGTCGAGACTGCGAGACTTTGCATGTCAATTTAGAGGTTGCGAGTTGCGACTTGCGATGGTGTATTATTAAGGGTTATAGGTATAATATGTCATTCTACTATATGTTGTTTTATCAAACATGTCACTCTATTATTTTTTGCATCAAACATGTTCATTTTACATCAAACAGCTCCAGTACTTTGAAAAAATTATCAAACATAAAATTTTCATTAAAAACTCGCCAACCCAGGTCAAACTAGGGGTGAGCATGTGGGTGGATAATCTGCGGATTAATATCAATCCATCCGCAAATAACCCGACTCGCAAGCTGTGGGTGATTGATGTGAGTGGATTGCGGATTGATAATTCTCCCACCCGCACTTATGTGGGTGGGTGATGGGTGGATTGCGGGTCACCCAAATGACCCGCTTTCTATTTTCACATGAAAAAATGTTGTTTCTTATAGTAACGAGTATTCATCATATTTCGAAACCGCCCTATGGTCTGACCTTATACTTCTTAATGTAGAGAATAAATAATACTTTTGACTACTGTTATTGGTTATTGTTGTTTGTAATATCCATTTATTGGAAATTCGAATGCAAATTATTGTGAATATCCATGATATATTGGGGTGAAACTACAAATTATTAATTGTATAAAAATCACAACTTGCGTACGTTTTCTCTACACAACTGATGGATAGAGTAGTAAATTTTTTTATGCAAATACTACATAGATTCACTAGAGAGAAAGTGATAAGTGTCTAAATTGATACAATCTTACTACTTTGCTATGAACTTATTATAAAGGTTAGTCAACTTTCTTAATAGCTGGTTGGAGCATTGCTTTTGCAGGTTAACCCACGACCCAACCGCACCCATCCGCCACCCACCCAACCCGACTCGCATGAGAATGTGGGTGGATTGCGGGTAACAATTATTCTAACCCGCTAGTAAGTGGGTGGGTCAATATGATGACACAAATCCCGCCCATTGCCCAGCCCTAGGTCAAACCTTAGTTTGAGTGACACAAATGTTTAAAATATCACTAATAATTTTACTTTATAATTTTTTGGTTTAATACACTTGTATATCCAAAACTTTCACGGTTGTGCCAATAGTATCCAAATTTCCCGGAATACCACTTATATCCATGTTTTAAAGTTGTTCTTTGCCAAATCTATCCATTTCCCAATATATTTTTGGTTAAATACACTTGTATATCCAAAAACACCGTTAAAGAATGTGAAGGAATTGGATATATGTGGTATTTCGGGAAATTTAGACATTATTGGCACAACCGTGAAAGTTTTGGATATACAAGTGTATTTAACCTAATTTTTTTGTTTCTTTTATATAGCCAAATACCTCTAATAATTTCATTTTAAGAGACCTTGGGATATAAATTAGGGGGCATGATTGTCCTTTTTCCTCACTTGCCGATGTTGGGTCGTTTGAATCTCGGTTCAACAATGATTTATGATTTTTTAATGAAAATATTAACATAAGGGCATATTTGATAATTTTTACAAAGTATAGAGGTATGTTTGATGTAAAAAAAAATAGTAGAGATACATATTTAATAAAACGGCATAGTAAAGGGGTTTATTATGCCTATAACCCACCTATTATTAACTAGTAGAGCCATCTTTCTTTACATATTTATCAACCATGGAGGAGGTGCATTTGTTTCGGAAAAAAGAAAGAATCTGGATTTATATTTGTTATTTCTTTTCTTTTTTGGTTGGGAGTAATCATCATGATTACTAAGGGTAAATTGGGTATGAAAAAATAAATTATATTCAATCCAGTTACAAAAATCTGTTAATTACAATTCTATCTCTTTTTCTCACTTTCGTAATCTCCAGCCATATTTACTTTTCTTATTTTTCTCAATCTTTCTAGGGAAAAAAACAAGAAATCACTATCAAATTCAATCCATTAGGTAATCACTACCACTTCGAAAAACACCAATACTATTATAACAAAAAACAAGAAATCAATATCAATCCATTAGACAAGCA